GGCCTGAGCTCCAGAGTGTTTTTACTGGTGGCAGAATGGACTTCGGCCTACCATGGGACTGAGGTCCCACACAGGTCAGCAAGACAGGTCTGGGTCATAACTGAGCTCTGTCCTGGAGTCTGCTGGTAGGCAGTGGTGGTCCTGAGTTCTAGGAGGGTTCTACCAGTGGTGTGATGGAAACAAGCCTGCCCTTGAACCAGGATGCCACGCTGGTGGGTAAGTTGGATCTGGGTCAGGCCTGAATCTCTCAGTTATCTACTGGTGGTGGGATCATCCTGGTTTAAGCTGTACCCTGGCTCCCACTCAGGTCAAGGAGGTGGATCTGTGCTGGGCCTCAGCTCCTGCAAGGTCTGTTAGGTGGGTGGAGGTGGTCCTGTGCTCCAGCAGGGTTCTGCCAGTGGCGTGATGACCCGGGCCTACCCTGGGCCCTGGATCCCTGTGTAGCTGAGCAAGGCAGATCTGGAATGGGCCTGAGCTCTGGTGGAGATGTGCCACTGGGCAGAGGCAAGTCCTTGGCCAGGCTTGAGCTCAGACGAATGTCTGCAGGTCGGGAGATGTATTCGGGCCTACCCTGTGTCTGAGCTCACACACGGGTCAGCAAGGCAGATCTGGGCCAGGCATGAGCTCAGGCAGGAGTCTGGTGGTGGGGGGAGGCGGTCTTGAGCTCCAGCAGGGCTTTTCTGGTGGCCTGATGGAAACTGGCCTACCTTAGGCACTGGCTCCCATGCTGTTCAGTAAGGTGGATCTGGGCGGGGGGGGTCTGCTGGTGGCAGGAAGGAATGGGCCTACCCTGATGGCAAGGTAGATTTGGACCAGCCTTGAGATCAGGAGGGGTTCTCTTAGTGGGCAGAGGCAGTTCTGATCTTTCAACCAGCAGGGTTCTGCTGGTTGTGGGAAGGACCTGGGCCTATCCTGGGCCCAGGATGGGATCCTGTGTGGGTAGGTGAGTCATAACCTGCTCGTGCCTGAGCTCCTGCAGGTGTCTACCAGTGGGCAGAGGCTGTCCAGACCTCTGGCGAGGTCTTCCAGTGTTGGGATGGACCCAGGGCTACCTTGGGTCTGAGCACCAGTGGATGTCGCAAGGAGTGTCTGGGCTGGGCTTCAGTTCTGGCAGGTTTCTGCCAGTGGTGGGATTTACCCAGGGCTTGCCTGGGCCCTGGATCTCGTGCTGGTCAGTGAGGTGAATTTGGGCCTAGCTTGAGCTCTGAGGTGTGTCTGCCAGCGGGCCTGTGCCGGTGTCGAAATGGACCTGGGCCTACCTTGTGCCCTGGCTTCCACGCTGGTCAGTGAGGTGGATCTGGGCCAGACCTGAGCTCTGGTGGGAGTTTGATGCTGGGCAGAGGCGATCCTTGGCTGGTGCTGAGCTCCAGAGTGTTTTTGCTGGTGGCGGAAAGGACTCGGGTCTACCCTGGGACCAAGTGCCATGCAAGTCAGCAAGGCAGGTGAGGATCATGCCTGATCTCAGGCAGGAGTCTGCTGGTGGGTAGAGGTAGTCCTGAGCTCTGGTGGTGTTCTACTTGTGGCATGATGAACCCTGGCCCACCCTGGGACCTAGCTCCTGAGGTAGTCAGTGAGGTGAATATTGGCCAGGCCTGATCTCAGGTGGGGCTCTGCCAATGGCAGGATGGACCTGGGCTTACTCTGGGCCCTGGCTCCTGCATGGGTCCAAGAGGCCTATATGTCACAGAATCTCTGACCATGATTTTTGCAGTCAGTGAAGCAGTCTCAGCTGAGACTACACAGAATTCTCAAAGGGGCACATTGCCGATAGAGATGGCTTAGACTTGCCCTCAGTTCATTTGTGGCTTCCAACATCTCATGTCTTTATCAGGATGTGGCAGAGAAGACTCCTGATGTCCCTGGTGGATCCAAAGTACTCTCAGCCAGAACCTATGCAGAGGAACCTAAGGTAGTTTTCAGATTTAGCTTCTGCAGGTCTTCAGAGTCCATATGACTCATGCCCAGGCTGAGATGTCAGGGTCAACTGATCATGTCTTCTGGCTGTCCACTATTTTAGCTCTCTGGTTTTACCTCTCCACTTCATCAGAGCCACACTTATTAGGCATCTGGAATATTTCTTCCCCCTTACATTAGAGCCACCTTATTGCTGACACATGGTATGCAACAGCACAGTTTTCGGACACAAGAAACAATTCCCCTAACCACTCGCTTCCAGTTCTTCCTCTTGGCATGCTGTTGCCCAGAGTCAGACTGGGTGGGTACATCAGGCACCGTGGTCCTTGTAGTCAGGAAGTGGAGATGAAGGGCCGGAAGGCTGGCCCTTCTCATAGCCTTTTTCCCTGCCTGTTTGGCCTCCTCAGGCAGCTGAGGCATGGGGAAGGTGGGAAGCACAGGCTCGCTAGGACTCCTTTTGGTGATGCCAGTGAAATGGGAAAGATCCATGGGGCATGGGTGAGGCTTAACCCTTGGAGGCACAGGCTTCCCCTGGAACATGCAGCCTGGCCCCTGGCTTTTCTGGTGCTTTAATATAAGGTATGTCGCCATGGCTGTATTGAATTTCCTAGTGGCCAGAGACACCCAGGTCTTATAAGGATCATAACCCAGATCACACAGAATGGTCATGATTTCTGGGTCTAGGGGTTTGGTGAGTGACTCAGTAAAATGCTGGGGTACATACTGCTTACCCTGGGTCAGCCATGGGTGCTGAAGAATTTGCTTGGCTGTGGGCCGCTCCCTGGGGTTCAGGGTCAGTATTTGATGGATAAGTTGACGCGCCTTCACTGGAACACGGTGAGGGATGTTGAATGTTCCAAGCACGATCTCCCTCAGTAAATCCTGAGCGGTGCGCCCCACAAAAGGGCGGGTCCCAGTCAACAAAAAATATAGCATGACGCCCAGGCTCCAGATGTCCACTTGGGGGCCCTCATGTGCTTGCCTCATGACCACTTCGGGGGCAAGATGTGAGAGAGTGCCCCAGAAGTGCCTGAGATTTTGGCCAGAGGTAAACCAGGTGCTGAGGCCAAAGTCAATAAGTTTTATGTTGCCTCTGGCATCTACCATGACATTCTCTGGCTTAAGGTCTCGGTGCACAATTCCCTTGTCATGGCAGTAGTCCACGGCACTCACCACCTGTTTGAAAAATCTGCGGGCCTTTTCCTCCTGCATGCCACCTGGTGGAATATGGTGAAGTAACTTCCCCCCATCTGCGTATTCCATTATTATGTAGATATTTCTCTGAGTTTCAATGATCTGAAATAATTGAATGATATTCGGATGATCTAGGCTCCTCATAATATCTGGTTCTGAGAGTACTCCCATATTCTTCTCATTTTTGCACACCACTTTGACTGCCACTTTTTCCCCAGTGAGGTGATGTTGAGCTAGTTTTATCTGGCTAAATCCGCCATGCCCAATGACCCCTAGAAACTCATAGTGGTCCTTGACCACTTTCTTCGTGCAGGAGCTGGGCCTCTGAATGTTCTGACTCTGCATCCTCAGCAGAACTACCACTAAGGATGCTAGCCCCCAAAATAACAGAATAAAACAGTTGCAAAAGAGCCAACCACCAACCTCTAAACGCACTATCTGGGTATCCAACAGGTCACCTCCAAGAGATTCCTGTACTTGTGGACAAAAACTACCACAGTCACTTTCTCATATATCTTACTGTTTGAAACTTTCTCACAATGGCTCCTTGTGACATCAAAGCAAGCAATCACCCAGTCATACTTTGCCATAAACCCTATGGTCCTCTCACTTTTGAGCCTCCAGAGCTCTTTCTGTTTTCAGATTAGGAATAAGGGTTTTTTTCCCTTGCTTTAGTGGGTTATGAGACATTTACTTGTTTAGAAATTAAAATTTCTATGGAACTTCAACATACCTTTTATTTTCAGTCTAAAATTCTGTAATAATTTTTTGCTTTGAAGACTACAATGTATCTACACTCAAGGTATTCAATTTTTTTTTTTCAAACCTGGAATAATTGGTGTCAAAAGGATGGTGCCACCTCACTCACATGGTGATACTATAACAAAATTGCTCTCTTCCTTAAGATACCATAGAATATAATATAAACCCTGGTGTGGATGAGAGTGAGAAAAGGTTGATCATAAATTCTCCATATAGTCCTACATAAAATGCATATGCATTACATTTTGATACCAGTAACTGAGGGGGATGGGGTAGAGATGTAAAAGAACTGCATTTTCTGTTACTGAATATAGATTCATACCAGGGGTATTCTTCCATCTTAGGTTAAAGGGAATGCCCAGAGTAACTCCATGGTAATACCTGTAGGACAAACTTAAAATAAAAGGGAAATTCAAATATTTCATGTAAAAATCAATTAGATAGGAGAGAAGATAATCATTCATGAACACAAGGCAGAGTGAATCAGGAGCTTTCCCTGACTTAGAAGAACACAAGTCCTACTGAATCAGCAGCCTTCCCTGCTTTCCTTACATGGACAAAAGTGCCAACTGGACCAACAGCTCACCCTGCTGTCCTTATAAGGTCATGAGTCACACCAAACCAGCAGCTTGCCCTGCCTTCTATAAGGACACAATTCACACTATAACAAAAGCTTGTCCTACTCCTTATGGTCCCATTTTAGGTAATTATCTCATAATATTGCCATTTCTGAAAAAAAGGTCTTATTCCTGGGTTGGGATTAGAATCTAAACAAGTGCACTGAGAGATATAATTCAACTATAATACACTCTATTTCTGTTTTTCTGCCACGTTTTTTCCAAAGGTGTTTAAATTTGTTTTATGCTGTTTCTACATCAATCCATATCATCATATGACCCCCCCAGGTTTGTCAAGGAAGTGCATATCCTTAGTGAGTAGGATTATGAAAATTCCTGATGTCCACTGACCCAATAACCTTTCACTTGATTCACCTCTTAACTATTCCACTGGCTATCATCACCACACAAAGGACCAACCTGCCAATACATGAACCCTTTTGTGGGGAGAGGAGGCTATTGTAACAAAACCACAACAACACCATTTCTTTATTACATTGTTTATGTCTCAGGGTCTGTCATAATTAATATTCCATGTAATACTTGATATTTAAAATTGTCTATTCTTTCCTTTATCAACATTATTACAAATTTGTGAAGTTTATTAATCTGTTCAAAGAATCAGCTCTGTCTCACTAATTTCTTCCATTGTTTCTATTTTTAATATGATTAATCTCTGTTCTTTGATGTTTATTCTGATTGATTTTGGTTTATTTGCTACCCAGATAATCCCCCTACCACTACCCAATATTTCCCAGCTGTAAAAATGAGAATTTGTGCCTTTTTCTTATTTCTAATATGTTTTTAATGGTATCAATTTCCAAGTACTGCTTTAGATGTGGTCTAACAATTTTTAGATGTTGTTTTTCATTAGGTTCAGTGTCCATTTTATTTCCTTTTAAACTTCCTTGGCCCATAGATTCTTGAGATTTGTGCTTTTTTTCCCAAGGTTTTGAAGACATTTTTTTTTTATCTTGCTGTTTTCTAGTTTGAATACTTTGTGGTGAAAGATCACACCAAGTATGTTTTCAATTATTTAAATTTGGCAAATTTTCTTCATGGCACAGGATATGCTTTATACTCATTTATGTGCTTTGGGTAGAATACAAAAATTAGTATTCTGTTATTGGATTAAAAGTACTATAAATATCTCTTATGTCCATTCCTTTGAAGATCCCTGGCTTATATTAATTTATCTGTTTTGGAAATATTAAAAAAAGTTAGTATTTTGTTTTTTGTTTAAGTGTACTATAAATATCTCTTGTATCCTTTTCTTAAAAGGTGTTGAATTTCTTTGATATTTTCTGCCAAGTTGTACTATCAATTGTTGAAAGACTGGTTCATTCTCAAAAACTAATGCTTCAAACCTTCTTTTCTCTCACCTCACCCAACAAAAATAAAGAAGTAAATAAGTACATAAATAAACAAGTCACAACTATAAAAAAGTTATCCATACTCAATAGGAGAATAAGAGTGGGATCAGAATCAATCATGGGACATTAACCTTAATGTCCTAATCTCTTTGGTGGAGCTCTTTTGATTGCCAGAATCTTGGAAGTATTTACATTAATTCCCTCAGAGTTACATGTTCTTTCTTTCTTCAGATGATGTATTAGGATGGATTTCAGCTTCTTGTTATAACTTTGGTACTCACCTGCTCCTCCATCTGACTTTAACCTTAGGGTCAGTTTTGTGTTTTTGTCAAATAAAGGTTGTCCAGATGTGGGACTGGGGATGTGGCTCAAGCGGTAGCAAAGATGTTGTATCCACTGAAAACTAAAAAAAA